AAAAAAAAAAAAAAAAAAAAAAAAGGAAAGACCAGACCAATGAGACCCACAGGCTGGCTCTCAGCATCAAATTCAACACAGGACAAGGCTTGAGTTCTTATCTGTGCCCAGTCACCCACGGCAGAGTGGGCAGCTTTCTGGAGAAAGGGCAAGTGTGCACAGGACAGGAACTGCACAACAGCCAGTCACTTACTGGTCACTTACTGGTCTTAAGGCTCACTGGTGCCACTCAGCTCTGCTACCATCTACTTGGCTGATTCCATGAAATGCCTGTCTCTGCTGTTAGGAAGTATATAGACTATCAGCACCTCACAGCCTCACAACCACCTCTCAACTGCCTCTCAGGAAGCTGCCTTCAGACTGAAGGCCCATGCTCCTGCTATGTCAGGTCCATGCTCCTGCTATGGATAAATCTGCAATAGACCCCCAAACACAGGTTTCACCCATCCTTCTGTTCAGAAGCTAACCAAGGGGCCAGCGTAAGTCAGGCCTCATTTCTCCAGAAACATAACCAACCACATTTAAGACAGGCCTGACTCAGAACATTAAGGTAATGTTCCTTGAAACAGGGCATGGGTGGAAACAGAAAGAATCCTGAGGGGCTCTCAACCTTGTTGCCTTCACTACTGTCCTAATACCCTCAGGTCAGATAGAGCCTCTTTTCAGTTACAGGGATGCAGTTAGGGAATGATGCTGGGCAGAGGGGCTGCAGCAGAACTCCCACCCCCTCGGAGAAGCAGCAGAAAGCAGGCATTAGGAGGGGCACCAAATTCCCCTTCAGCCTACCATCAAATCTGGTATGGTGGCACATACCTTTAATCCTAGCACTTGGGAGGCAGAGGCAGGCAAATGTCTATGAGTTCAAAGCCAGCTTAGTTTACATGGCAAATTCCAGGCTTACCAGGGCTAGAGAGACCCTATCTCAAAAAGAGTCACCATCAATATACTTCAAGTGAATTAATGAAATCACAGTTTGATCAACAGCTATACAAGCTTGAACAGATCAAACCTCATCTCAGAGTGCTTACTAAACATTAACAAATCTTTAAGAGTTTAGTGTCAACAGGAAAAGAGCCCATGACTTTTAACTGGCCAGTGCACTGTTTACCAACCACCATCCTTTACAAGTTTTAAAAAAAGCTACAAATTTTTTTGTGTCTATGTGTCTATGTGTGCATACATGCATGTAGGCTGGAACACCACCTCATGTGCTATTGCCTGTTTGCTTCTTTACAGTATCTCATCACTGGCCAGAAACTCACCAGTGGCTAGGCTGGCTAGCCAGTGAGTCCTAATGATCCACCTGTCTCTTCCTCCCCAGCATAAGTATCATAAGCATACCTCACTCACCTTTTATTATGTGGGTCCCATATTTTACTGATGGCTATCATTCCAGCTCAACTTTTGAGACAGCACCTTGTTGTGTAACCCACAATGACTTCCAATGTCACATCTTGCCAAAGTCTCCCAAGTGCTTAAGTTACATGTGTACACCATCATACTCAACTACAAACCCAAATTTTAGTCTGTGGCTACCTAAAGGTGGGTCATGCAGTCTGTGGCTGCAGGTCTGTGCCATGCTACCTGCTTCATGTACCTGCTTTCACAGGCAGGGCCAGAACCCTGCAAGTACCTGACCATCTCAGAATTATTTTACTTCTTTTTGTTTTTTGTCAAGACAAGGTTTTTCTGTGTAGCCTTGGCTGTCCTGGAACTCTCTCTGTAGACCAGGCTGACCTTGAACTCAGATCTTCCTGCCACTGCCTCCCGAGTGCTGGAATTAAAGGCTAGTTCTACCACCACCTGGAATTATTTTACTCCTAACCTCAAGTTAAATTTAATTTAAAAATAACGTACAAAGCACAATTTTTTGTTTTGTTTGTTTTTTTGAGATGAGGTTTCTCTGCAGTAGACCAGATCAGGATGGCCTCGAACTCAGAGACTCACCTGCCTCTTGCCTCCTGAGTGCTGGGGTTAAAGAAAGGCATGTGCTGCCACCACCACCACGATGACTGCCCTGCTAAAGCACAATTCTGAAGAGAAAACTCAAGTCTCAATTCAGAGAGAGTCCCAAAGGTGTCACTCAGAAATGGCTATTAACTATCGATGAACACACTAAAAATTGTGTGTTCCTACTTGCACACACTGGTGCATGTGTCACATTATACGTGTAAAGGTCAGAGGACAACTTGTATGAGTCAGTTCTTTCCTTCAGGATACAGATTGGGGCATTGAACACAGTTGTCAGGCTTGGCAGCAACTGTCTTTTCCTATTAAGCTATCTGGCTGGCCCCTCTCACTAAGTTTTAACAAACCTTCTAGCCCAGTGATTCTCAATCTTCTTAAGGCTACAACCCTTTAATACAGTTCCTCATGTTGTGGTGACCCTCAACATGGAATTATTTCACTGCTACTTCCTAACTGTAATTTTACAGGAGCTGGAGAGATGGCTCAAAGGTTAAGAACACTGGCTGCTCCTCCAGAGGTCCTGAGTTCAATTCCCAGCAACCACATGGTGACTCACAACCATCGATAATGCGATCTGGTGTCCATTTCTGGTGTTCAGGCACACATGCAGGCAGAACACTGTACACATAATAAATAAATCTTTAAAAAATAACTGTAATTTTGCTGTTATGCACACAATTTCAGGCTAGTTAAATGCCCAGATCTCCAACAATGACTAAAGCACCCAATGGACCCCAGATTCATGTGTGCTCATTGCAAGGCTGATACCAAGTTCAATGTCCCATACAGAGCATCCTATAAACAATGCCTCTAAGTGGTACAGGGACTAATGGCTGAAGGAACTATGAACAGCATCACTGTTAGACAAAAGGGTTAGTTAGAAAAGGAAATCAACTTTTAGGAAGAATGTTCATTCCAAGCACATGGTCCTTAGTCTTAGAAGCTGTCAGGTATCCTAGGACATGGTTTGGGAGTTGAAGGTCTCACAGGCACCAAAGACGGCAGAACACAGACCAAACAACTTATCACAAAATTCCAAGTGATGGCAAAGCCAGTACCTCAAATAGAAAGCAGGATTGCTTGAATATATTTTATACACTATTACATTAAAACACTTCTCACAAATGCAGTCTTCCAAAGCCTACCTCCTGAACTGAACTCCTAAGATAATCAATGCCTGATGAACTGTTTATTGCAAGGTCTCCAAACCACAACTAGGTCATCAAATGGAAAAGAGGCACCAGTCTAGAGGCCTGAGATGGCCAGAGTGCTTGCCTGAACTGGGCACTGAAGACCTCTGATGACCACAAGAGCAGAGACAAATGCAATTAGAGAAGCAATGTTGGACTGAGGTTTATTTTAGTGGACAAGGCTGAATTCAGGCACTGCAAGGGACAGAGTATGGGGCAACCTGTATCCCCAGTAATACTGCCCATAAAGTACCTACTGATGCCCCTTGGAACCCACAGGACCACCATAAACACAGCTTCTTTTTTTTTTTTCTTTTTATTTTACTTTATTTTTGTGTGACAACATTTTTCTTTCTTTAGGTAATGGTAAGCCTAGAGTATAACAAAAAGTCAGGACAGGGTATGGCTACCTGCACCTAGATTGCTGAGTCTCCCTGCAATCCTGTGCATACCTCCATTCCTAAGTATTGCACCAGGAGAGACTGTTCATTTTTAGGGGTCAAGTGTTCAGCACCAACTTGCATTTCTAGAATGGGATACTGGCTGCTCAATTCACAACTGAGCCCTTCCTGAGAACAGTGCTTTTCTAGGCTTTCAAGATATGCCCTAAGAAGCTCAGGCAAGTTTCTTATTTCAAAGGCTGACCTCAGGAAGGTGATGAACTCAATGGCTAGCAGGAACATTTCACTGGGCAACTGCTTTGAGTTCTGAAAAAGCTGATTCTGTAACCACTCATTTGCTAGAAGTTATGGCCATCATGGGTATACCTGCACAAATCAAAACTGACAATGATTCATCATATGTCTCTGTTAAAATGAAACAGTTTTTTGCTTATTACAATATAAAGCATATTACAGGTATACCACATAATCCTACAGGTCAAGCAGTTATAGAAAGATCAAACAGAACTCTAAAGGATATTCTAAATAAACAGAAAGGGGTAACAAACCCCCCCAGAAATAGACTGTGGTACCAAAGGAGAAAACCCAGGTACTATTACATCCAGACATTTGAATGGCCACAGCAACTACCCTGGCCAATCAGCTTTGATAAACCTCTGATAAGTAAGTAGCAGGCAAATAACCATTTTTAAAACCTCTTTCCCTAAATAAATAAATTAAAAAAAAATAAATAAATAAAAATAAAAATAAAGCCAGGCCTTGGTGGTGCATGTCTTTAATCCAAGCACCTGGGAGGCAGACATAGGCAGATCTCTGTAAGTTCAAGGCTGGTCTGGTCTACAAGAGCGAGTTCCAGGATAGGTTCCAAAGCTACAGAGAAACCCTGTCTCCAAAAAATAAGCAAGCAAGCAAACAAACAAAACAAAACAAAAATCTCTTTAAGAAGCACAGCTAGCGGGAGCTGGAGAGATGGCTCAGTGGTTAAGAGCACTGGCTGCTCTTGCAGAGGTCCGGAGTTCAATTCCCAGCAGCCCCATGGTGGCTCAAAACCATTAACGGGACCTAATGCCCTCTACTGGCATTCAGATAAATAAATAAATCTTTAAAATATTAAATGAAAATAAAAAATACAGCTACCAACCACATGAAAATAAACAGCAAACAAGTGAAAGTCATTATTACGCATTGCTTTGCCATGTGGTGACAGAACACGATTAAACCAGAACCACCGTGTCTGCAGAGCAGGGTGCACTCCCAGGAGGCAGAAATTCCCATTCTAAACTCAACAAAAAAAAGAGAAACATGAGCTTCACCTGAAACTTGAGATTAGTAAAACCTCATCAATAAATGAATTTCCAGGGCTACAGATAAAGGAAGGATCCTCCCAAGGATGCTCTATTTATCAATGGTCTTCAACATGGGGATTGTATTATAGTCACTTTTACATCATGAGAAAGTACCTGAAAAAGCAACTTGGCAAAGAGACGTGGCTCAGTTTGAGATGTCAGTCAATCCTGAGGAGCAGGGTATTACAGGATAGGATATCACATTATAAAGCAGGGGAAGGGGCATGCAGGAAGAGACTAGTATAAGATATAATCCCAACAGGCTGGAGAGATGGCTCAGCAGTTAACAGAACTTGCTGCTTGTCAGGACCTGAACTTGACGCGTAGCACCCACGTGATGGCTCACAACAGTCCATCAACTCCAGTTCCAGGAGATCTAATGCGCTCTTCTAACCTCCTCAGGAACCAGGCATGTATGTGGTACATGGACATACAATCCAGCAAAACATTCATGTACATAAAATAAAAAATATTAACTTCATAGAAAAAAAAAAGGATAACCCCAGGACATGCTCCCTGTAACCTACTCCTGATAGCTCCACCACCTCCCAATTTTGCCAGTATAATTATGAAACCATCAAAGGATCCATCATAGCCCTTACAATCTGTCTTTTGGCTGTTGAGATGGCTCAGTGGGTAAAGTACTTTATATACAAGCCTAACACCCCAAGTTCAACCCCTGGGACCCACATAGAAGTGAGGAGAGAATCGTTTAAACAAAGTTGTCCTCTAACTTCTACATGCATGCTACTGCATATGTGTACCCTTGCTTATACAGCAAACACAATAATAAAATTATAAATTAAAAAGAAACACTCTCACAGACATACCCAGAGCTATGTTTTACTAATCTCCTAGATGTGTCTCATCCAATCAATTTGACAAGATTAATCATCAAATGGCCAAGCCTGATAATTTTCTATCTCAGAAACCATTTTTTCCTTTTACCCCCAAGACCAAAAATAGAAAGAAATATGGACAGTAATAAAAGACTAAGGATGGCCAGGGGTAGTGGCACATGCCTTTAATCCCACCACCTGGGAGGCAGAGGCAGGCACATCTTTGTGAGTTCGAGGCCAGCCTGGTCTACAGAGCGAGATCCAGGAAAGGCGCAAAGCTAGACAAACCTGTCTTGAAAAGCCAAAAAAAGCCAGGCGGTGGTGGCGCACGCCTTTAATCCCAGCACTCGGAGGCAGAGCCAGGCGAATCTCTGTGAGTTCGAGGCCAGCCTGGGCTACCAAGTGAGTTCCAGGAAAGGTGCAAAGCTACACAGAGAAACCCTGTCTCAAAAAACAAAAAACAAAACAAAACAAAACCAAAACAAAAAAAAAAAAAAAAGACTAAGGATGAACACTCAATAAATGGACAGCTAAAATATAATCTGAACTCAAAAGGTAATCACAAGATCCCAAAGATAAATCCAAGAAGCAGGCTAGAAGCAGCAGATTCATTGGTCCACTCTGCAACATAGATGCAAGACTTAGGAAAGTTAAAAAAAAAAAAACTGGGCAGTGGTGACACACACCTTTAATCCCAGCACTATGGAGGCAGAGGCAGGTGGTCTATGTGGGTTTGAGGTCAGCCTGGTCTACAGACAGCCAGGAATACACAAAAAAACTCTGCCTCGAAAAACCAAATAAAGAAATGGAGAAAGAGGAAAAAAAAAAAAAGAAAAGTTAAAAATTACCCTTCTTATGAATACAGTGTGGCTTCTGGAGCAGCCCATTAGGGAGTGGGTGGCAGGAACAGGGAATGTTAACCATCCATCTTCTGCTTTGACCGACTTCCTCAACCTATTGATAGTTCATTGGTAAAACCGACAATTCTTCATAAACAAAATCAACTTATATCACCACTAAAGGTGTTACAGGTTCACCTGATAAAAACAGAACTAATGGGATCTTCATTAAAAAAACAAACACCCTCCTAAATGAAGACTGAATCAGGGTCTTGCTATTTTTGGCCTTTAAATTCAACTAAAGTGTCCCAAGTACTGGGAAAACAGGTTTGTGATACCAATTCCAGCTTTTCGCTCATTTTTGAGATAAAGAAGTCTGTTACCCAAGCAGACCCTGCACTGGCACGCTCCTCCTGATAATCCTCCTGCCTCAGCCTACAGAGAAACTTAGATAGTGGTACATAACTACCATATTTGACTTTCAAGATATTTTTTATTTCTCTAGTGGTCAGGTGAACTTAGAATTCCTATCGCTGACATTGGTGTGTTCATGTGTGTTTCTTAACTACAGGTAATTCTCAAAAAGGAAAATGGTAAAACCATGAAGCAACCTACACTAGCTTTATCAACATTTAATCAAAATGTTGGTTAAGTTTCAGTTCATCTCCATTGCCCTCAACAATTCCATGGATGGGGTCCACAGAAACAGTACGAAGCAAATTTCAATCCTTCAGGCTCACTTGTACTAGTGAAAAACAAAATGCAACTATTTATAGCAAAGTACTTTAAGAAAGTAAATATACAATCCCTTACTTAGGACAAGTCAGCTTTTCAATGGCATGAGAGTGATATACATTCAGTAGAAACTATACTTCAAGTTTGGGTCTGCCCCTAGGCTGGTGAGACAGTTTGAAGCTCTCAACACAGGAGCAATGCCAACTCAGCTCAACTTCCAGTCATCTCCACAGCCACAATGGGAAACAGACACTGATGAAGTTACCAAGTGTAGTAGATTAGGTTAGTGCATTTGTTTTTGCTTTTTGAGACAGGGTTTCTCTGTGTAGCCTTGGCTGTCCTGGAACTCTATAGAACAAGCTGGCCTTGAAATCTGTTTGCCTCTGTCTCCTAAATTCTAGGATTAAAG